TTGCTTACGTTCAGATGATGCACAGGCGGACGTGAACCACAAACCAGATGACCCCAGAAACTCGCCTAAATACGCCATCGGTTGTTATAATCAGACCACTTCTTGAGCATGAGAACTCACCGCTTCTTTCTGACCAGCTATTTGCTGTTTCTTTAGGTTGAAAAGCACAAACTTTAGACGACGAACTTTATCCCTTTGTCTTGTTTGCCTCACGAGGACAGCGCCGTTCCTCAGGTGCTGTATCGTCGTCACTCCACTTTCATGCACAAAGTCAACCCTTAGTTTCGCTGTACGGACTCGCGCATTTCTCCCACCCAGTTACGGAATTGAGAGTGCTCAATGTACACTGAGATGTCTAGTTGGGGTTGAGCTCACTTTCGGATTGAACGCTGACACTGGCTAGGGCATTACAAGCGGACAAATGTCGATCCCCCAAATCACAACGACGTCTTCGCATTTTTTTGTGGAACCATGATTGATTCTGCCAAATGCAGGTCATGTTGACGAACGTAGCTGTTGGTAAATCAAGGCACGCGATCGTTGTATGCGCGCCTCAAAAATGACAGACACGTCACCTTCAACATCCAACTTGGTGACTGTGCATTCTCTCGCTGTTTTCAGTTCTGTTTAGCGGCCACTAGCTACTCAACGAACATCTACTGCAGCAAGTTTTAGCTTTCATTTTGTCGCGATGGGTATCTTCCTAGCTCGATGAGTTCACGTCCAGAACCGTGGTTTTGAAACTCACTGTATCGCTCCACATCCGATCTCGTCTGAATTGTGTTTGTCCACAAGAAACAAAACTTCGAGTTTCCTCATGTGCCCCATCGGACGCACTTCGCTTGTAGTGCGAATCAGTAATCAGTGGTTTTCCATGGGAATAAGATTTCGAATCCTTCTAGGTTTTTCCGACTTACACTGTTAACTGCGTTCCATCCCCACGTGGCTAAGAGAGATATGCATGTACTTATGTCGATTTTATAGATGTGAATCTATTTTCGCATTCTCTCATTTCCAGGAATGCGTGTCGCTTTTCGGGAGTCTGGAACGGATGGATGCCAGCTACCTGTGTGGTCGCTGCAAACGGAAAACGGATGCCACCAAACGCCTCATCGTATGGCGGCTTCCCACTTATCTGATCATTCATCTCAAGAGGTATTTATTCATATTACATTCATTCGGAATTTTCTTATTTTCCAAATGACTACAGTCGTGAAGAGTGGAAACCTTTAACTGGGAGAATTTCGACCTCCCGGGGACATTTTACACTAAACTGTGACTGACGATGAACGTTTTGGCAGCCTTCGCGGTTGAACAGACTTTCTTGAGAAGGACTTATCTCGCACAAATAGTGCACTCATGTTTCCGATGCAACTAGTCTGCTAGTTTCGATGGAACATCGAGCACAGTTACCTATTGGTGAATCGCGCTGTTATCCAGACATAACTGCGTCCCTACGGTCGAACCGCGTCACGCAGCCTTTATGTGACCATTGTTCTGACTTACCCATGTCGTTTCCTTTCATCGACTTACTATCGCATGAAATCAGCATTCACTCATCTAAAGGAGGACTCACTGTATCGGCGCACCCTGAAACCACTAAGACTAGGGAGTGCCCCAGATTAACATAGTTAAGAGAGATGGTTTTCGCTATTTATCTGGGAACTCAACACTAGCTGTTTATTCTGATCCGTCTGATTGCCGAATGAACAGCACGACATGGCGCGTACTTACATAGCTTCTCTCTATCTTTCGCTGTCTATCTGGAAAGTATTATTGCGCGCACTAATGAAGACCCTGTCTCGAGGCCTCTCGTCGCCTCGACTAACCACGATGTTCCACTGAACAAGGGAGATTAGCACGCAGTTCATTACCGAACTGGTATGTCCTTTGCTTTATCCTCTCTCCAAACTCTGCGAATAGCTCGCTATGACCGTTTTGATTTTTTTATTATTAATCTATCCCGATTGGTTTCTCTTGAACAGGTTCCATTACGTCAACGACGAGTGGCAGAAACGAACTACTTACGTGCGCTTCCCAGTCGATAGTTTCCAGCTGCAACAGAATTCTCCTAGCTACGCTCTCTATGCTGTTGTGGTAGGTAATCTTTCGCCTTCATCCTTATACCCATACGCCTGCCTCTATTTTCCGACCACTTTGGTTAAACGATGTCAACCTCCAGCAGATGTACGTCTTCGTACTTTTGAAAGCGAACTTACATAGTGAATTAGGCAGTTTATGAATTGAACCCACGTCGGATACCGTCAACCGAATTGGGACGATGGCTGCAGTGTTGCCGCAATAGATCTGGAAACCTTACGTCCAATCTCACGAATTCTACGTGGACGTCTGTGTTTTGTTGTCAAAGCAATGGCGATTTAGGTTGACTCGCTGATTGTCTGAGAGGGCTGGGAGTAGAAGAGTTGTTGATGTCTGCTTGGACTGCTTCGTTTTTCAGATTCTATGAATCATTTACTGCTGTGTTCCCACCTTGGTCTGGTCCTAGTCTAGATCACCGTTTGGCCGCGCCATTTTCGCGTAATTTCCCGATCTTACGGTCACATTGTCTTCAGCAATAGATAGGTTTTCTGTAATCTCCCCATTGATTGCCGTTTGTATGTTGGTGCCTCTCCAATTATTTCAAGTTTTTTTAGAAATCATTCCGCTTGTATTTTTTTCTAAATCACGGCGGTGTCAGTAGTACGACGTCGCGCATCACTCGAAGCCAGTGAGGCGCAACATCGACGCGCGAGCCCCTGCAGTATTCGTTAATCTTTCATGGGCGAGATGGCCCAAGTGGTTAGAGGGCGGATGTGCTGACCGGTAGGGCC